GCTGGTTTGTAATAATAGCGAAGACGCAAGTTTTGGTACCATCAGCTGGAAACTACAGAAACGATTTGCTCGCGGAGAATACAAATATCTCGCAAATTTTAAAACGTAAACGTATACGCAAGCATTGTTGTTTTTTATTTTAAATAAGGCCTCAATATTAAAAGCCTGTACAATTATAAAAACCATAAAAAGTATAATCTGCTAAAAAAAGAAAGATAAGAAGAAATCAAGTAAGGTTATTAAGATTACTTGACTTAACAAAAATATGCATTTTGCACAAAGGTTCGATAATTATTTCTAAAGATAATAAATACAACATTATACAAAAATATATTTTAATCCTTTAAGAAAAATGTACTTACTAAATTATATTATTTATTATTAAATAAAATAATAAAATAAAAAAATAATAAAATAAAATAACACTAAGTTTTCTCTCTGTAACAAATAAAAATAATTTAAAATCCTCTGTAATGTAATTAATAATTCCTATATCTTGCCCTCTCTTTCTCTCTGTTTCTATTTCTATACATCTCTCTCAATAATTATAATGTATCCAGTTTTCTTCAAATTCTTTCAAATAAAAGATATGAAATTTTCTTTTAGCACATATCTTTTATCATAATGTATAGCAAGATTGTTTGAATATGGTAGCTTACGTTGCAACTTGCGACTTTGTTACCAAGAGCTCGCGGAATTTTGTCGAGAAAGAGCATAGTTGAAGGAATTCGTGATATAAACGCGTGAAGAGAAAGAGAGACAGAGAGAGAGGGAGAGAGCAACCATTTTTCACTTGTCGTTAAAGGGAGGATGACACTGCCATGCCAAGTACACTACAAAGAGAGCGTAAAGTGCTCTGACCCAATGGCGATACTTTCGTTGCAGCACACACACACACACACACACACTCATACACACACCTACATGTATACACGCATTGCTAGTAAATCGTTTAATGCGAAACTCTAGAACGATCGTTTAAGCGGGCGAAGGACGATCTCGGCACGTTCCGTCGTGTTTGCACTTAGAACGTAGATGCACCTGGATTTTATCATACCGATGTAATCTGGTCGCTCCAGCTGGCACTGGGAGATGCCAAGGATACGAGCGGTAGCTAGGATTATTTAAGGTGCAATTAAAACACTTTCCATCCGTTGTACGTGTCTCTCCGCTGACGATTAGAAACTTATTGAGTATAGTCGCAAACTTTCTCGAAACATAACGTCCAGTTATTATGAGCGCGATGTTAACGCGAAAATTGCAGTTCAAGTTTGTATTAACTTAATCTCGAAACACGTAAACTATTCGCTTGAAGTTAATATGAGATGAAATCTACTAAACTGAACTCTCTTAATACGCATATCAAAATTGTTTATTATATCTTCAACAAGATAAATGTCTACTGGAACAAATGAACTATTCACAACATTCGAAGTATATATTATTACATATATATGTATATTTTAAAGTTTCAATAAATTCGGATAGAATAATTAAAAGAACTTATTAGATTCTTTAGTAGAATAATTAAAAGAAGTTAGTAAAATACTCTTAACATTTTTGAACTGTAATTACTAAAGGTATTCACATATATTTTGAGACGAGATGGAGAAAACAAATTTCACCTGGAATTTTTTTACAATCTGTCTCCGTCGACAATTCCGTTGCACACACAATCGCGATAAAGTTGCATGCCACAGAAAATGTGGAACGCACGCAGACGTGCACGTAAACTGCATTGATGGGCGTTCGCGTTCGGGATTACGTACGCAGCCCTAATTGACCGATCGTACTTTTGTGTTCGATCTATCGAAATCGAGATCGATCGGTGCCAGTTCGAATCAATAGCTACCGGCTTACCGGACCGCGTGAGAATTGGATTTTTAGGAAAATTGCAGCCGTGATTTTTTGCGACCCTGCGTATCCTTTTTGCTTTAATCCTGTCACAATTGTAAAACCTAACACGCATCGAGAACGGAATACATCACCCAACTCTTTTGGCACCGTTGACGATTTTAAAATAAGATCACGTGTGGACGCTATGATATAATTTATGTGGGACGTGCCGAGATAAGTAAACGACCTGCTAACGATAGAAACAAAAATCCAGCACAATTTTGAATTGCATATGTGTGTTTCTTCTTGGAATTTTAAAATTCTAATTAGAAATACAAATTATCATTATATTACCTTTATAATACGTGTTAGTTGTACATTAAACTATATATTTATAAGATCAAATATATCAATTATAATTTTATATTTAGAAAATATTAATTTTATGAAGGAAAAAACTATTTTAAAAGTGAGATTTTATTATATAAATAATTATATAATTTCATATTTTCTTCAAAATATTAATAATATAAAATAAATATCCAGTATAAACGTTTCAGTATTTTATATTGTTGATTTGAGAGATGTTTATTTTAAATACTTTACATTGCCCTTTTCTCTATTTGCATTAACTTGTAACAATTCCTTGATCTTTTAAATTGTAGTTTATAATCATTAAACTTTTTGTTATTTTGTTTTATTTTATTGTTCCATATTTTGAAGTCTTTATCTTAATCCAAATTAATTTTCTCTTTATCTTAGACATTAGTTTATGTCTTTCACTCTGTTTTATCTAATTATTATAATACAAAAAAATATCAAAAAGTTTATGTTTAAAAATCTATGTAAAAATAAAATTAGAAAAAAGTCAAATCACAGCCATGGTAGATAAAGTGCATATTTTATTATATATAACTCTCACAAGTTCTTTTAATCACGTATTTAAGCAAACATTTTTATTTATTCCTTCTTCAGATCAGCTTCAGCAAATATTTTGATTTAATTATTTTATATTTATCCATTTAAGTGCCTAATTTTATAATATATTTATACGCGACTTTTCATTACCAATGCTTTTAAACTTGCGCTAAAGCTGATCTGAAGAGGAATAAATAAAAATGTTCATTTAAATGTATATGTGTTTTTCTAATTCTATTTTTAATATTATTTTTAAAATTATACTCTTTTAAAACCTTTTTATTTTTAAATTAAAAATCTACATATTTCTACAACATATGTATATCATGAGCATCAATGAAAATTGTTTCCGACTCTTGGGAGCTTTATAGATACGTCTATAGTATTTAACTTCGACATCATCTTCATAATTACAGCTATTCTAGCGCTATCGTCATAGCGTGAAGCGTGTATTTAATCGGCGATTAAACTGACTGCATGAAAGTCCTATGGGTGAACTAACGTTCAATGTGGGTAGTTCGCGAAATAGTTTACGTTATATCGTTTATGTATACTCAACATCACGATCATTATATTGTAGATAACCCTTTTTTATTTTGTCGCATTATGCATTATCATCATACAACGTTATGTAACTGACAATGTTATGTGACTGTCAGTTTCTCTGCTCACGTCACTTTTATTTTATCTTAAAATGCACAGTTCTTGAAGTAATTTTAAATTAATACATTATGTTTTTTAGATATCTTATACGATAATTTATTTTCTATTGTAAATATGTACTCGTATTTCTCTTCAATTTTTAATTTGTCAAAATTGTACCTACATAATAGCAATTTTTTGCTCTCATACATAATCGAAACATTGATTACAATATTATCACATCAATCAGTTATAATTACCTAGCAATTAATTTATATATAATTCAAATATGCTTCAAATACATTTTGTATGCAAAATAACAAATGTGGTTGTGCTGATTAATATAACACACATATATTTAATAATGTGCATATGTAATATTTTTTACAGGCATCGATAATTTGATTATGTACAATAATATAAAGAAAATGCCAATGTTTAGTGTTTCTTTGAATAAAACACATTAGATTGTGCAGTGTCAAATGCTTTCAATGATCGCGATATAGATGAATTCGAAAACGTTTGTATTAGCTAACATGTTTGTCTGTACAACAGGTCTACCCACGGTGCTGGCATTCATCCGCAGAATTATTCGATATAGCTTTAATTGACTAATTCTATTTTCATTTACGTGCGTGTTCCAACTGTCGCGCTGAATCGAACTGCCTTAACATAACAGTTTCGTTTGTTCTGTGAACATTCTATGAACAATTATTATGCCCGTTTAGGAATCTCAAAGCACTTCCATCGAAAAGCAATTGACTTGTTTAAATAAATATGCGTAGGTATCATTAAATTATGAGGTAAACGTTGACGTATTCTTGTTCCAGATCTCAATTTTTATTCTCATAGGCAAATACATTAAGCTGACATTTCCATTTTTGCGCAAAGATTCATTTTCTTCGAAATAAAAATTATCGATGTTTAATAGCTGATACATATATTATCGAGATCAAAGTATTTGAAAAAAAAGTGAACACTTCTCAATTTGGTTTCTCGTTTACTTTGAAGGTGAGAACGGTAATTGAGCACATGCAAACACTGTGTAACGAATAGCGTTTAATTAGCAGTTAAACTCGCGATCGATGCCAGACCCCACCCTCGGAGCTTTCAGCTTATTTACACAAATCATACAATAGTCTATAATTAGAAATATTAATTATATTAATTATAATGCCGGTACAGTAAAATAATTTAAATTCTTTGGTTTTATGAGAACGTTTCATAATTAATTAGAAAGAAGATATAAATTTGTCTCAAAAAGTCTTTGATAACTGTACCAGGTAAACGATAAATAAATTAAATGCTCAGTGAGTTGAAGATCTGTGAAATTGCATAATTCATATTTATACAATTAGATAACTAAATGCGATAATTAACAAGAGTAACATTTTGTAGCTACGTAGCTACTACAGGTTTAGTAATTAATATTTATTTAATATATGTTATATGTCCAAACTAAATTATCCCTTTGAGGAAAGATCAAGGAATGAGAAATATGTAAACATCAATCGAAAAGCACAAGTACATGTTTGATTAGATGGAAATCGTCTTCGTGTAATTGGATGTATAGTATAAATTTGCAAAGAGAGACGTCGACTTACCAGTACGTAGACCGCAAACGGCATAACGAGCACGGCAACAAGGAGATCAGCGACCGCCAAGCTGACGATGAAATAGTTGGTGACAGTCTGCAGAGCACGTTCTTTCACTACCGCCAAGATGACGAGTACGTTACCGAAGAGCGTTAAACACGGCACGATCACGAGTATCAGGGCCCACCAGCTGTTCGATTTTTCGTCAACGCCGGTCGGCCCGCACTCATCCCCCGGCCTGACAGTGTTCCCGGCAACTATCGACGACGTACAATTCACGCTGCTGAGGTTCAACCCGGCACCGCCGTCGCCGTAGTAGGCCGTCAGGTTCACGAAGACGCTATAGTTGAGCCGATTGATGTAGTCATTCAAGTCTTCAAAAACAAAGAGATCGGACACGCTGCCGGTGTAGTTGTCTACGCTTGAGGTAGAGTACGACGACGAGGATTCTGCGAAGAAGGAAGAAGAGGAATCCGACAAGGTTGAGACGGCAGCGGTCGTCGAGTCATTGAACCAACTCGATTCAATGCTATCATCAACAACGTCGCTATTGTTGGTCGAAAGAGCGTCATCCAAAAAATCCGCCATCTTTTCTTCCTGCACGGTTGCAGAAACCACATTGATAACGTTGTTAGTATCCGCTTCTCTTCCCGGTGGTTGGTTCGAAGCTCGTTGCTCGCGAGAGGTCAGCGAGAGGTTCCGGAAGATTGATCTGATGAACGAACCATTCGTTCTCGCCTCCATCACGGTCGATCTACGATGATCGTCTTATCTCCTCAGTTACCGATCACGAGATTTTAGAGCGTCTCGCCTGGAATTCCATCTTTCTGTTTCCTGTGCGCGACATCTCGACTTATCTCTTTCTGACTATGTTTAAGTGCTATGACCTCTTCCACTTTCCTCGTCTTTTTCTTTCCTCTGTCTCTTCCTTTGTTTTCCTCTTTTCTGCTTCTTTTTCTCCACCAAGTACGATAAGACTTCTTGATCTTCTTTGAGCAGGAAAAGAGGTACTGTTTCTAATCGGCCCTTTAGCCGGTCACCCAGTTTCTAAGATCCCTGGCTTAGACGCGTATCAGTTGAATCCTTCCTCCAGGATTTCTGTAATGGAGGAAAAGTTGGTGGTCACTACTAGAGTTCGCTTTTATGGAAGAATGTGTGCAGCAGAAACGAAAGTTTATTTTCAAATTTTATTCGACAAATTGACGTCGGACGAAAATTCTCTGCTTTAAAATGTAATTTAAAACTAATACATTTAATCGCATTTGCGTACATGCACGAATTTAAATTTAAGCGATTTTAACTTTTTAGATTTTAAATATTTGAAACCATAAGAGCAAAATAATATATTGACCTCACTTTTAATTATCAAAGTAATCCATCAATTATTTGTCGCTTAGTCAACAAGATATTTTGGATCGAAAAAAAATTTTTTTTAGATATAACTTATAATACTATCATTTTTTATTGCATTATTTAGATTCCTCTGAAAAAGTATCATTTGCTTTTATGTGAACAATGAGATTTTATTATTTAATTATATCTAATTGCATGTAATGAGGATTAGGAATATTCATTAAATATTTTTAATTTTTTATATTGTTTTAATATCTTTAATTTACTCACATATAATTTAATTAATATATAATGTTTATTCCAAATTAATCGAAAGATTCATTATTAAAATTTCGTGTGTTTGCTTGATAATTTTCATCAGAAAATATAAAACCAATTTTCATAATTTTATGATACCAATCCTTTTCTTGTAAAACATTTCAATATTGATTTTCTTAAAGACTTTCTTTCTTTTTGTTTTTTCTTTCTCTGTTTCTCTTTAAGTAAGCAAAACAAACGCGCTTCATTACTTCTCTCACGATCGCACAGTGATTTTAATCGCGATCAAACTTTCCAAGAGAAGCGATAAATTTACGCAACAAAACCAGCTATCGAGAACCTCCTCCTCCCTAATGAAACATGGAAGGATTTCTGTAATGGAGAAAGAAAAAACTCGCGGAGTCCCATCTGCGTACGCCACACCGCTTGAAACGAGTGTCTCGTGGCGCAATCTCAGAATTAAACAAAAGCTCACGGCTGCCCCACGCCGTTCACAGATTGCTTAAAATAAGGTGCTTTCGTCCTTAGTAAGCAAAAGATCGAAGGTACACATGGGGGAAAGTCGGATTGACAGATGGACAGGCATTATAGTATTTCTCTTTCGGTGCGCGGCGAAAGTGTGAGAAAGAGAGAAGGATAGGCCTAAGAAACGCAGCTACCTCTGTGGACCCTCTTAAGAACAGAAATCATCTCCTTATCCCATCAGAACCTTCCGTCCCCGCTGATTCCTTCCTCTATATAAAGAGAACTCAGAAGGTCGGTATATATCGCGCAGCAATATCTTTCAGACTGTAAATTTCTCAAAGTATCACAGTCTACTCGCTATAAAGTTCGTAGAATATATATATATATATATATATATATATATATATATATATAATCCTGTACGAACATATATATATTTTATATATATGTATCTATATAATCTAAATTCTCGTGGAGTTCGTACAGGCAATGTACCAGGGGGTTGCATCTGAGGAATGAAAAGCAGGAGACAACGGCTCCGAAATTGGGGGCTTTTCTCTCGCTGAAAACTGTTCGTTTCTCTTTCCTTCATCCATCGCGAACGATGGATCCATCAATTTTTTATTGACGTGAGCTATTCGTGCTCACGACTGCGAAAATTGAATTCTGTTGTGGCGGCTGTTTTGCAGATGACCGCGGCGAGTCGTCCATTTAATGCGTTAAGCGCGGCCAATTCGCCGGATATGCCAAACCGGCGTATCGAACTTGTACTTGTTTTGAATTGCAAATGCGCGACTTTTTCCTCGTATGTGCGCGCGAATGCACGCAGTAAATCTAACACATTTATTTATTGCGAAGGCGCGTTGCATATCGGTGATATAAAAATGGCTTAAATTGTCCTATTATTCACGTTCTAGATAATTTATGCAAGAAAATATGAAAAGGCGAAATGATTATCGTATGTAATATGAAAGACTATATCTGCTATATTGTAGCGTAAATATCTTGTATCCATAAAGTAGATTTATACGCATGTTTCCATAAATTATTACTTAAAAATAGGGATGTTTAGATTGTATATATTTGACTATAAATAATCTCATATTTCCGTATATTGAGAAAAATAGAAGTCGACAAAAAATACATAATAAAAATATATAAAGAGATAGATAGACAGATAGATGGATAGATAGATAGATAGAGAGATAGATAGAGAGAAAGAGAGAGAGAGAAAGATTTTAATTCTTATTTTTTGATTCTTTAATTCTTATCTAAAAATAAGAATACGCTTCTAATAAAGCATTTTAATTACACACCTACATGACATTTAGAATTTTTAATTATCTGAATATAAACAAATAAATAAAAGTAAAGCTGAGTAAAACAAATAAATAAGTGTAAAATTTGAATAAATAAACACAATTGGAATAAAAACATCTGAAAATAATAGTGCGGAAGCTATATTTTTATATAAAAAGTTACATTTATATATGAAATTCATATTTATGAGAATTTCTGGCATATTTCGCTAAAGTGACACGAGTAAAAAGAAATTAAAAGCAAAATTTAAAAAAAAATAACGATCTTTTATATACATATTTATAAAAATCATCTTTATAAGAAATCTTTTCAAGGAATATCTATTTAAACGAAAAGAACAAAAAAAGAATAATTTTTAATAATTTCATTAACATGATGCTAAAATCTATCACAACAATTTTCTAGCGGATTTTACTTGTTGCATACATAAATAAATGTATGTTTTGTATTTTTAGATTCTCAAATTAATTACACATAACAATTAAAAATTAGAAACTAATATAACATCTAGAATAATTAAATAAATATTTATTTTAATTGACATTATATATTTATAAATTTATTAGTTTAAATTAGAAGATATTTGTTTGAAATCTTTTTGATTGGTATATTACATGTAAAACATGTATATATTTGATATTTATATTAACGATTGTGCGGCTTATCGAATCCTTGATGAAAAGTAATATACCTATCATTCTTGATAAAGTTAATAACAAAAATGGCAAAGATTTATCTTTGCTTTATCTGAGTTCGTGAAAAGGTATTGGAGAAAAAAATGTGGAACGGTGACAATCCGAAGGGAAACAGCCACGCATCCTGTAATTCACTCCATATTCCCTCTTCCTTTTTTCCTTCCTCCGCGTTAGCACTCTTTCCTTCATTCTTCGTCCTCTTTTTTTTCTCGCGTATGTCGCGACCCTTCGTTCTTTGCGCTTCGAGCAACAGATACGACAAAAGTGTAAGAGTATTGAAGAAGGGTGACTGAATTTTATCAGGAGGAATGTATACACTGCGAACACTGCGAACGTCAGATCTTAAACGTCATTCCGGCCGCCGACATTTTAGACTGTCTCCTCGATATCGACATTCTAGAAATGTTCACGAATACCATTCCCGATTCCATTCTTCCATGAATTTAAGAAAGTAAACGGAATCTTATGTCGCGAGTGTTTTATACATCCTATAAAATGATATCATTTCACTGTTTCCATTTTATAAAAAATTACTTTGACATTATGTTACTTTTATAAACTTTTTGTTTTTTTATTTTTTTCTTTGACATGGTTTGAGACATTTAATTTTATTTCTGACTCGATTTAGTTTCAAGTAAAAATCTTATATTTTAAAAACAATCATCATTTCTTCCATCTTTTACGTAATTAATTAATTAATTAATTACTCATGTTTCTACCACCTTTTACATAATTAATAATTACTTATATAAATGTTTTTATAAATTTGATTTTTTTTGCATTCGGTGAGCTAAAAAGAAGTTAAATCTTTATCTCTTTATAAAATTTTAAATCACAGCCAAAAAAGACTATACAATTTTTAAAAACTTTAACATTATTTAATTACAACATATTTTGGCATTATATTGTTTCTATATCTATTGTATTATATTATAAGAAATATGCTTCTAAATTAAATACAGGGACAAACTATATACATTTATATTAAGTACTTGTTATAAAGAACTTATAAAAATTACTATCTCGGATTTTCTACTATTTTAAATATTATAGAAAATGATTTAAAACCGCATTCAGAATTTTTTCTTGCAGATTATATCAAGCGACGCGGTAGCGTCGCGACGTCAAGTATATAAAAATTTCTTTCCGGCATGTCAACAGTTTGACCTATGTACAGGGATCACGGCGCACCAAGTAGCTCATCCGAAATTTTACATTAAGTAAACTTTCGAGTAAGATATTTAATTTCAGATTTTCTTGATGTTATAAAAATATTGAATCCTTTATAAATCTTATAAATAATAAAGATGGGATAATAGTGAATTTGTACGCATGATTATGACATCAATCATTAACGCCAATTGGAGAGTAATGAGTGGAATAATAATATTCTTTCCATTGCATCGACAAGAAACGCGGAGTTATTTGAATATGTAAATATGCAAAGTGATATATATATATATATATATATATATATATATATATATATATTAATCTTCGAAGTGAAGAGAACACAGTGTTGAAATTTTGTTCCCAATATTTGGCGTCGTTGTTGCTGTGCTCGCTCCTTCTTTTCTATAAAACTTCATGCATTATTCCGCGCTGATGCACAAAAAAAAGAAAGTACCGAAATTTGACATTTCATTTCCTGGAAAGGTAATGTACTACGTGCGTTATGAAAAAAATAAATCTTACAAATTTAAATAACTCATAAGATATTTTATTGTTAAGAAACATATACATATATTTAAGGGAAATTATGCAGATTTAAATTTTTACAAAAAATTATTAAAGAAATACGTTTTATTAGAATTTAGCTTTTGATTCTTTAATTCTGCAGTAATCTCGCGTGATCAGGATAATTATAGTTTTACATTAAAGGCTTTTGTATATTAATTTTGTAGTTCTAGTCACTAAAAAAATAGTATATGTAGAAGTAATGAAATAATAGAATTATAGAAAATATGAACAGAAGCAATATTTAATCTCAATAATATCTATTTGTAA